GCGAGCTTACTGTTGTCATAGTGGCAGCCACTCTTCAGGTCCCAGTCTTCGTTGGAAATGGGCACATAGAGCACCGTCTCATCGAATACCTTCTGTCCTGATTTGTCAGTTGGAGTTAAAGACACACCAGTCTAGTCCTGGTGACTTCACATGACAAAAGAAATTATGGACAAGCAGCTTCTGATGAATACAAATTTGATGGTTCCCATGTTCTTTGCGCCCTCTTCTCTTCCTAGCCAAATTGAACAACCGACTTTCCAGCTGCCATCGATCTCTTTCCGCCGTCGTGTCTCGCAGAGACCGAAGATGTCACAGGCCATCTGTGACCTTTCTTCCATCAGCTGCTTTAACGTTTCATTCCTAACCAATATTCGACAGATGTGGGTGCAAATGACGAGAGAAGTCCAGGTCAGTTTCCCAGATGGCTGCCTGTCATTTGGGACTTTCGCCAGCTCCTCTTCAGCAGAACACCAAACCACCCTGTAAAACGGGTCGAGGGACGTCAGGGTACGAGGTGCATTTATTCGCGCATGAAGTTTGGCCACCCGCTTATGAGGTACAGGTTGGTATCCCAGTTTCTTCCGGCATTTTGCCGAAGTTTTCCCTTTCAGCCCGTTACCCACCGATGTCTGACAGCCATAGTGATATCGGCGACCTTTTACTGCGAAGGGAAGAGTTTGTTTCCGTTAGATATGAACTGTCACAGGACGTTGTGGTTTTCAGAGGATCGAACTTGTCGATCTTGAACCCAGCAATGTTCTGGTTATTTCGCTGCTGGCTGTTCGCGACTATATCTTGAAGTATTTCCCTCATCCGCAACCCGGCGACGCACCAGACGGCCAGCAGCTAGTAACACTAGACATGACGATATATAATGTACAATACCCATGATCTATAATTTTTACCTGGCCAGAACTAAAATACTATTAAAATAAGGTATACTGGAATGTACCAGAGAGTAAAATTATATTCATAAACTGAAGAATTGACATTGGATTATTTTTAATAAAATTATGTAGCACTAGTGTAGATACTCTAGTAATATATCGGTATTAACAGTCAGATCAGGTCAGCTGAAGCTGCATCGCCAACGTGCAACGTAACTTCGTGCAGTTCCATCACTGTCAGTGGGCCAGTAGTAAATTTATGGTGTAAAGTAAAGGAAAGAAGCTGGACTGGAATTACGATGGAAAAATAATGGACATAATTCCTAGCTGAATACTCACCCTTCGTTTTTCAGAAATAGTCAAAATTGGTTAGAGATGCTTAGTATCGTTAGACGATAAGAAACACGGAGAGATGTTTCACATTACAGGGGTCATTTAGTTTTAACTATAGGCTTAAATGTTAACACCCTTTGCCTTTAGCATCACATGAACAGTAACATTGCTATTCTTTTGTTCCTTCAGTCCAATCGTATTTTTTGAGGTTGTGCCATGTGCTGATTATCACATCGAATATTTAGTGTTCAGGTAAATTAATGTGAATTACAAACCTATAATGCAATGGCTGTACTTCGTATCTACTTTGATACAAACACACGAAAAGACATGCTGTCACTGTTGTTCGCGAATCACCGTATTTTTTGTCATGCAGGTCCTCTTTATCCCTTCTATCCTTCAGCCAATTTTCCTACATATTTGGCGGGACAAGACCCTCGATATTCATAAATCAAAAAGGACTTTAAATGAAAGAATATTTACAAGTACAGTACTAGACCCCATTACGAAAACTCCAATGCTGCGTATAGCATCCAGTGCTAAAATGAAGCAAGTATTCTTCACCTGAGAAATGCTTAGAAAGTTGATCTTCTGCATATAATCGATAAGACGTATTAAGTTTTCTACCATACTTACTAGTAAAAAAATATGTTCATATGACAGACAACAAAAATGCAGCATATACTGATCATTCTCCATCCTACCAGGTAAAAACAGTTTGATTTGCTACCGAAGAGATGTTTTAGTGACAGAGTGAGGTGCACAAGCACATACGGAGCTGATTTTTGCTTCTGTATTAGTTTTACTCTAGCATTAATAATTCTACTAATTATTTCGTTGACAATAATGCAGGTTATGATGAATGAAACGCGTCGTACTACACCTTCCATCGTGTTGTGTGTCGTAGTTGTGAATTAAGCGATGGATCTAAAAGAAAGCGCTAAACAAACACATGCTACGTCAATTCATGATTTAATTCTCTCTATCAATAAAAACTCTAAAACAAAGGATAAATATTTATCTTAGTCATTTCTCGCACTTTAGTTCTCAACGAAGGTGCTTCCATTAAAGCATATAGCAAACACCGTTTCGTACGCTGGAATTAATAAGGGAAAACCCTTCTCCACCGCGGTTTCACGGTTTAATGGCATAATATCTTTGCTACTGCTGTAAGCTCACCTGGTCATTCAACTAGGTAACAGACTGTATGATATTTGAACATCTGCAATTACATGCCCCTTGTAAGCAGCGATGTCTTAGGAGCCGGTAATCCTTGACATTTTTGAAAAACGTCAATAATACTGGTTCGTATAACCCCTTTTGTTTAAAGTCCCTAACTCCTGTGCCACGATACACACTGCAACTCGATTTAGGAGGAATTCTAAACTTATTAGCTGTACGGGTACATACTTCAACACCTGCACGCCGCTAGCCTCGATTTTCGAAGAAGTGAAAAAAATATTTGAAATTCTTGAAAATTTAGCAATCAATAGCAACCCGTACTCGTTGAACTCTTCAGAGAAACGGTCGACCACTGGAACAGGTGGCGAGGTTCAAGTGCCGCGAGTTCGTGTTTACTGGTGAAGGAGAATTGGAGGAAGAGATCGACTCGCTGAATTGGAATGACCAGCAGCGTTCTAGATGAACTATTCTGAACCATTATAACTACGACAGAACTGAGCTAGAAGACAAAGATATCTCTGTTCAGGCCTCTCTTTGTTTCCATGCCGACTGAAAGTAGCTGAAAACTTAAATGCCGGGTACAAGTGGCTGAAATGTTTTATCTGAGGCGATCGCCAAGCCAACGCGTCTCGACATGCTCCAAAATATGGATATCTGAGAGTGCCCTGTTGTACAGCTGCAACTAGATGAAGGTGAAACAACTACTACTTGCCCAACCCACCGGAAGAAGACCTTAGGGACGACTGTCTCGAACCGAATCCTCTGGCCCAGACTTAGGCTTTCTTATACGGAAGCTAAAACGGTGGCTCAGGACCGGGAACGTCAGCGAATGACCAACAATCACTAGGTCAGGTGAACAGTTCAGTTTTATTGCATTTTTAAAAAGAAAGATTGATTTTCAAATTATTTATCAATACAGCTCCCAAGCCAGCTCGGAGTATATTTTTTACAATGGCTTCAGAGGGTTATGGCCAAAACTTTCGGTTAAACCAAACAGCAAGAAACACTTATGGTTGCGTGACTGCCGTAGCTAAAATATCCCAAAATGTCTCTCAACCTTAATTGACATATTCCAACCTATGATCAGACTTGATGGCATGACAGCCACTATATTTTCGCACTACCTATTTTGGAGGATGACGACAGATTTCCATAGTACTCTTCAATACTGCTACTGCTCATGGCCCGCTGTCCATCGATTGCTCATGTGCCAGTGCTGTACTGTATATGCTAAACGCACTTCCCACAATGAGCTTCCCTGGTGATGCTATGGTTTACAGTAAAGAAACGCGCCGATGATGAATAAAATATGATTGCTCGGTCTGTGTTTCACGCATCATTGGACCACAGTCAAATTCAACCCTTCTTTATTAAAAACACTAATTTGTGTATCTGCATTCTTGGCCTGCTTCCTTCAACAGCGATGGCTGTTTTAGTCAATTGGCTTCACAATTAGGCAGCCCTTGGTCAATTGTTCGGTCCCGTCAAATAGTTTCATATCAATGCTATTTGTGACAACGCGCCACCTTTTTTTTTTGGCCCCAACCAGTTTTTTCTTCCCTGCCATTATAAGTGCCTTGACCACATTTCCAGCGTATTCGTGGGATAATATCTGCGTTCATGGAAGTTACTTTGTTTCTTAGTTTGATATTTCACTGTTTTCTACCATATTTATTAAGTTAGCTAGAAATTCTTGTGCACGCGCATTTACATATTTGTACATTAATTGATTCATCTTCAAAGCCTACCTTTTCTGTCGAGTTACAATGTTAGCTTCTTCAAAATGGTGCTTCTAATCGTCCGGGTCTACCGATGGACGGACAAATCCCGTGGTGTGGATTCTAAGGCTCAACAATCCTACGTCTTCAGCAAATTGAAAACCGTCAGATCTATGGTTTGCCACTGGGACATATTCTCTGTAGCCTTGTTCACGTGGTGAATCTCTCATATGGCATACTTATCACATGTCAAAACCGTAGCAATTGCAATCCTTCGGTGTGGAAAAGGAACGGCTCGCAACACGGTGTATATCGAAACCCATCCCACCAGAAATCTATGGAGAATAACCGATTGCATGCAGTACTCCTGACCATTAGTGAGGACAAATGTTTGCACATACTTGACGACAGACAGCTTCGAACAACAGCACAACTTCTTCTTCACCGCCACAGACCGGATTAGCTTCAGGTTATATTTGCAAGTTTGTTTACTTAGTTATTTATCTATCTCTCCACTTTGTAAATTGTGTAACCAATTTCCTTCTTGTTTATTTACTTACTTTAGAAGTGGATCACTTATTTGCCTATAATGCTGTTCATTTACTACTTACGATCACAATGCCCTGTTATATGTTGAATTCCATTGAACTTATTTGCTCAGTTTCTTCATTAATTCACCTAACTGGATTTTTCCTCAATTTAATATTTTCTCTCTGAAGTCATAAATCACACACAAAGATCAAGCGGCATTCCTTTCATAGTTGTACAGCAGCACTGCTATGTTTCTTCATGTCTACAGCATTTATTTAGTTGCTTGATTGTCTATGGATTATTCAATAAGCTCAACTCATTTTCAACGTAGAAAAGATACAATCGACGAGGTGTATTTTGCAATAATAAATTTATTAACTAAGTGCATGATTGACCAGAAGCAGTTTAACCAGAACCAAGTTAAACGCTAGTGTTAGGATTCATGGCAGGTCTTCATGACATTCGTGCGGTTGAAGAGAATGCGATAACCTCCAAGGTGTTTCTTCATATAGAACGTTCTTATATTCTGAAAAGAAGTTAGAATATGGGGATTTAAGCTTATTCAAGTATCTAAATTTCAGTTCAATCTAATTTTAACTGGTTAATTACATGGCTCATTAAACAGAATTTTCCTCTTCGTTGAATATTTTATGAAATTATGTAAGAAATAAATAATAAAAGCAAAACTTAATTGAAACAACATCAAAGAAAACTCTGCCAGGGAATACTCTGACAAATTGTTATAAAATGCACTACCTTAAATTTATATTCAGTGATTCCTAAATACCCTCTGCATGTTCTGCAGAATGGATATGTCTCAGTGAGCATGCTCTGGTGGGGTGAAACTGTGGGACCTCATTCTGGAGAGTGAATTATACCGGAACCAGGAGCTCACCAAATGCCTCCGTTCTGGAACTCGATAGGCAGGTTGAAGAAAGTCGAGGACGAAGGCTATAGTTTACGAAAATTTGCCTCAGAAATGAACTT